AAAACAACCAAGAATGTTCAAGGTCAAAACGTGCAGCGACGTAACTCTCGGGCCGCGCTTAGCTTTCTCGCAATCACCACATCTTTTTCTATGTAGCTTCGAGCGGGTTCTTGGTGATGCAACAAAAAAAAAAGCGCTGTGCTCGTCCAGTAACTCCACTTCGATTTGAAAACTTTTTGTGACAGCTAGTCAGTGAGGCAACAATGTAGAGTAGTAAAGCCATTATGTTAGAAGTTATAAATGTTTCCGGGGCCACATAAAAATCCCCAATTTAGGTAAACGAACAGTCGCCATTGCACACATTCGTTCAGTGTGTCCACTTGTTTTGTCGTAGCAACAACACGCAGGGCCATAAACTTACATAAATATAAAATAAATAGTTCAGGCCATCATTCCTGTACCGAACACTGCATATTATATGAAAAGCGCATTTTATTGTGGACACTTTAACGTACCAATCAGTTTACGCACGCCTTGATATTGTAGTAGTAATTGCTGCGGTTACCTTGCACTTGATATTAGTGCAGTCAGTATTAAATGACTCTGTTTACAACCAGAGATGAAATGTTGAGCGATATCCTTCCCTTTTGTTATCTTTCTTGAAAAAGTCACAGTTTCTCCGCAAGGCCAAGGCAATGAATGCGATAGCGAAAACTTGAAATGTAACGCTGAGAACGGCAAGATGATTAGAACGTGCAGCGTGCTGCTCACGCACAATTAACGCACAAAAGCAACACACTCAGAACGAGAGCGAACTAACAACGTTTACAGCTCAACACTCATCTGCTATTTTAAAAAAAGCGAACGAAACCTAATCACAGACACAGATATGAGTGCGACCTAACAACTGTTCCAGTTGTTACTTCATTGTGATTGAAAAGCGCGCTTGCTGCGGCGGCTGCATTTCCGATGGAGGCGGAAATGTTGGAGGCCCGTGTGCTCAGATTTGGGTGCACGTTAAAGAACCCCAGGTGGTCTAAATTTCCGGAGCCCTCCACTACGGCGTCTCTCGTGATCATATAGTGGTTTTGGGACGTTAAACCCCACATATCTATCTAAAAGCGCGCTTGTTTCACAAACGGGGCTTGTCCAGCGAGCAAAGTGATTTTTGTGCACCCGGAAACTAAACGCAATTGTTCCGGTAAAAGCCGAAGGCACGTGAGTTTCCCCCACCACAGGAAAAGTGCGTGCATAGGGGCCCTTCATACCGCACAGCTAAGCACGCGTTGGAGATGAGCGCACATTGGCGAATCGCGACGAGCTGGGAGCAACCTTTACGCAGAGCATGCTCATGGCGCCATCTCACTGGTAATGCTGAAAACACGCTATTTCATCCGTAGTAGATGTAAATAGCTTGCCGTTTTAAGTCGAAGAAGATGCGTTTTGGTAGTCGATTGGCTAACGCCTCGCGCTCACGAACGAGAGGTGAGACCTTGGATTCCGCACGCCGGAGTCTTCTTCTGGATTATTTTAAATGTGAAGCATTTAGCGAACTTCAGCGACCTTGAGCATATTTGTCTATCTATCTATCTAGCCGCCTACGACTTTTAGCTCCCCTGGCCGTTTTGATAATTGCATCAATGCCGAAATTTGTATGACATAACATGACTGTATGGCGAGCATAAGTGACTAGACATGACAAGAAAATCATAACAATTATGTCTGAATGTATTATCTACACTTCATGGTCTTGCTCCTCATGCGGTGGTTTCGCTCCCATGATGTATTGCAAAAATGAGGCGGTATTACACGACTGCATGGCACACATCAGTGATAGACCTTAACGTTGAAATTGGGACATGCATGTCATGGAAATCATGACCACATGCCACGCTCATGCTGCCCACGCGGTTGTTTCGATAGCATCACATATACCAAATCTCGTATTACAGTACATGAATGAATGGTGAAGGTAAATAACCAGTGCAAACATGACAATCATGAGATGCGTGTCATGTAAAAATATGACTACATGCCACGCTCATGATGCGCTCGTGGCCGTTTCGCTAGCTTCATATGTACCATATCTCGTATTGCTGGACGTAAATGAATGGCGAAAGTATATCACATATGCAAACATGATAATCGTGAGATGCGTGTCATGTAAAAACATGAATACATTTCACGCTGATGATTCGCTCGCGGTGGTTTCGCTAGCTTCTCATATACCAAATCTTGTATTACGTGACGCGAACGGACGACGAGGGTAAATGACACGTCCAAACATGATAACCATGACATGCGTGTCATGTAAAACATGACTACAAGCTACCCCCAGAGCGTACTCGTGGCCATTTCGATAGCTCCACTTATACGAAATTTGGTATGACGTGACGTGAATAGGCGACGAAGGTAAATGGCACGTTGAAACATGATAATCATGAATTGGAAGTAATGTACGACATAATTCACGTCCACCTCGTGACATTGTGCTGATTTCGTTATTGCATTAGCAGTTACATGGACACTCTCGGCTGGATTTTGCCGCCAGGGTCAACATGGACGTTGGTTTCACCGTCATTCACCGTATATGTACACGTATCTATATATATGAAAACGTAATCAAAATATTCCAGAAAAAGATTCCAGTGTGCGGAATTGATCTCTGAATTGTGAGTTCGAGGCATTAGTCTCTGAACTACGAAGGAGCACTTCCTTCAACGTTCAAACGGCAAGCTATTTATACCAGTCACTTACCGCTGGTCAGGGACTTCTCGAGGGGGGGGGGGGGGACACTATTGTGTTTTGAGCAGGACCAGTGCGGTGATGCAGTGAGCGCGCACCGCCACATCGTCATGACGCTGTGGCACGCCCTCTCATTTCCCACGCGTACTTTGCCCCGTGGAAAGGGGCAGGGTAGACGCTCACGTGTGCTCTTGAATAGCTCGCGGTGGGGACAATCGTGCGCCTTGGGCTTTCACCGGAATGATTCTGTTGTAGTTACCAGGCGCACAAAGGTCACTACAATCGTTGCACATTCTCCGTTTCCAAAAAAGACACGCTTTTCAGACACAGCGAAGTAACAACTGAGACGCTTATTCACGTTCATCTGTACCTGTCAGTAGGTTTCGTGCGTCATTTGTGCGTGAGAAACGCGGGGCACGTTTCGATCTGCTTGCCATTCGGCGGGTGACCATTGTTGCTATCACGTTCATCTCTTCGCTTAGGCAGCAAGGCTTTGACTTTAAAAGTGACATATCGACCTTCCTCATTCGTGCTCGCATATCAACGTTTCCCACTGTACGTGGAATTGGCCATTTTTTCCTTTCTTGGGTTTTCACATATATAGATACGTATACATATACGCTGAATGACGTCGATGCCAACGCCGGCGGAAAATTTTGGCCTAGAGTATCGATATAATATCTATCACGATAAATGTTGAACAGAGATTGTCGCAGAAGCCAGCACTTCGATTGACAAGAGTGATTGTCCTCGTTGGGGTGGTAGAAAACTGTTGTTTTTGCGTGTTAGCAGTTGCGACCCTGACGAAGACAGGTTTTCTTACGTAAGGGCGCTTTTCTTTCTCGCAGTCTCTCCCTCTGTTTAGTCTTTCTTTTTGCGCTGCTGTCGTCCTTCGTTTCGTTCAAATGCTGGTTCTCGTGACATTTCAAGTTCAACTATGTTTTTAATGTTGCAAGCCGCCATTTTCTTGAAGTTTTTTATTCTCGTTTTAATTTTTATGATTTGTTTCAATTGTTAGATAGCTGTTTTGAAGTGTACTAACATTACGGCGCGGCTTCTTTATCTACAATCGCCCGGTCGTAGTGGTCTATTGGCTAAGACACTCGGCTGCTGACCCGCAGGCCACAGGATCGAATCCCGCCTTCAGCAACAGCATTTTCGATGGATGCGAAAGTGTTGTAGGCCCGTGTGCTCAGTTTTGGGTGCACGTAAATAACTTCCGGTGGTCGAAATTTCTAGAGCCCCTCACTACGCGGTTTCTCATAATTATATGGTGGTTTTGGGACTCTCCATATCAATTATTCTTTTATCTATGATTCCATTTCTCGGTTATTTCCCTGTATTTTAGTGATATTCGCACAAGGAATCTCAGTCCTTGCAACATTTCTAAACTAATAGTGCAATAGCATACAAAGGTCTTCAAAGTGGCTCAGAAATTGTTATATTTGAAAGTACTATTAAAAATTCCCATTCACAAAATAAGATCTTAGAGGTAATGTTGATTAGGAATGCATGAAGTAACATTGTTTGTTCATTTAGTTTTTGTTAGATGTTGCAATGCGCTATAATAGCGACGTTAAGACAGTAAAATACTTAGTGACGACTTTAGAGAATAGTAACGAAAGCTCTTGTCAAGTACTCATTTATATTAATGCCCATATCTGGGGCATACGTGTCCTTTAGGGAAAATTGGGGATATAACTTAGCAGAACTGACCAAAACTCAATTCGGAGTGGTAAGCTCTGATATACACTACCGACAATTAACAAAGAATTCTTTGCTATTCATCTGCCACTTTTAGAGTGGTTTAAACAAATTAAAAAATCTGCAGACAAAACAATGAGAAATTTGTATGATGAAGCCAGATAAATGATAACCTCAACTGATAACGTAATAAGGGCACGCCGTTAAAAAAGCAGCTCAAAACGTTTCGCCAATCAAGGGAGGCGAATTCAATGAAACAATGACAACTCATAGAATGTGTTAGCTATGGACGGCATGAAATCAAAATCTATACCTTATAAAAGTATTCAAAAAAGTACCTGTGACTTCGTTGAACATATGTTGGTAAATGGTTATACGAGTTTGTAGCATGGTACACTTTGGAAATCTCCTGTAAATGTGTGCACTTGATATGTGTTTATTTACATTTTTGTGAGATGTGCGAGTGCATGTTTTAATACTGGGATAGGTCTACGGACAAAAGCTTTAGTGAGCCTTGCATACGTCATTACGCTGTACCATTATAAAGAAGCTTTAAGTGCGAAAAGTCCCATAATCGCTACAGAAACTCATAGGTGCTCATACACTTGCAGGGAGTCGTAGTGACTTGGAGCTTGCTGGTGCTGTGTCCAGGCATTGAGTCACATTCGACTGCGGCCCACCTTTGGCAGCGCCTCCGCCAGATGACCTTGCCCGGGAGACAACGTGACAGGCCGAGGCCCACGACGAGCATGTTCGCGCTGGAGCCGGACCTTCGTGGACCTTTTCTGTACGGTCGTGGTAACTTACCTAGGCTTCCCTGGCAGAAGTTATACGTGTACAACCGGCCTATGGGCTTCCGCCACTGGCGTCGTGAGAATCCACCATCCATGCGTGGCAGAAAGCTATCTAAGATCAAGGTAGTGAAGAAGTTTGTGACTGGAACCCCCGTAGACAGTACCGGTGTCGTATTTCTTCTGTCGCCTCAATTGATCGCAGCCCCAGTGTCACCTAAACTGACCATAACATATCCTGAATCTGTTCCTTGGATGATGCCGGCAGTCGTCCCACCCAGCAAGCATCAGCCACCACTAACGGTGAAAGCAGCCTCAAGGAACAATACCCGGCTACGGTCCTTTGTGTACTTTACTGGGGCGCATTCTTCGGATTCACGTGTCCAAGAGGTAGCTGGTTCTAGCACGAAAGACATCACCATCATCCACAACAGGAGAAAGTACACCATCAGCGCAAAAAGCAAGGCGCGCCTAAAGGGACATCCAGGCCTTGTAGTCCATGTTAGAGGCATGGGAGTGGACACAGGACAATAACTATCAAGTACAAGCCGGTCCGTGTAGAGCACGTCAAAACGTGGACTTTCTTGCCTTGGTGCTTCACATCGCGACTTTCTGCCAGTTTTCCAGTAGTGTTAGCGGTTAATAGAGTTCCATGTCTCAGTCACTTTCATTAGAAGCGAAAGCTTCGAGTTCCGAAATGTTCATATTGATAAGGCATTGCTCACACAAATGTCAACCAAAAATAAAAGAGAACAAAATATGGACTCGCACATACATACTAATAATACTATTGTTAAGACACAAAATATTGTGATTATGAGAAGTGTACCAGCAAAGATATTTGGCCCAACCATGTACCTGAAAAAATGCTTTTGCCGCTCCTAACTTAAGCCTAATATGATAACTTGACTAAATTTGAGTCAGTTACAATTATTATAGGCAAGGCATAATCAAGCCAGAGCATTATTTGAAAAAGAATACATGGGCTGAAATACATTTCACATCTTCTAAACTTCATCTGCCCGGACGTTACTCTATGCTTGTGGCTCATGGTACGGATTTTAGTAAGATATAATATTCCTGAATAATAGATGCATAGTAGCTCTTTGACTCGCCTGTGTAACGCTGTCCCTCTGCACCGAAGCAGTGCCAAGTAGGCCACGCCTTCCCTCGCAGTGCGCGTGCGTGACGTCACTTTCTCCCTAGCCTATCGCTGCTTGTCGCGTGTCATCTCTCTCACTTCCCCCTCTCCACTGTTTGCAACGCTTTAGCCCACTCCTCACGTCGGCATCAAATCCTCACCCGCACAGCCTCTCTATCTGTCGGCGAAAAGAAACCGCAATGTTGGCGCGCTGCGCATGCTCGCGCGTCGTCGTCTGGACCGGTCGTAGTACCGCGGTGCCGGCAATTGGAACAGCGCGCCGCTGCTTGCTGCGCGATCACGGTGACAGGTGGGACGCCAACAGGGCATGCTTGCTGCTAATATGCGAGTACCTTTCCCGGCCGTCGCCAGCGTTGCGGGTTAGCGAAGCCGATCGCGTTCGCGAATGGCGACGTCGCGCCTGGAACACCGAGGAGGCGCGAGCATGGGAAGCCGAACGCAAGCGTTGGCAGTGGAAGACCAATGACACCGAAGACGTGCGAGTCAAGAACCGATCACGTTCGAGAATAGAGATGGTGCCCGGGTAACATCGACGAGACGCGAGCCGTGGCAGCCAAGCGCAAGCGTCTTCAACGCGTCCCTTCTCTTGTGTCTTAGCATTTCAAACAAACGCTACACCAAGTTTTTCTTCAAACTGTTCTTCCAGCATCCGCTCCGACGCTCGTTTTAAACGCGCCAACACAGTGCGCACCGCTGCTGCTTCGCATACCATCAAGTTTCCCTTCGGGGACATGGTCTTTAGTTTTTCTTGAAACGTTGAATATATACGCAATCAAATGAATGAAATAAGATATGCACAGACTTCGAGGTCACTTGTCAAGACTAGATAGCTATGCTTAGAATGTAACTTGAATACCACACACGTGGCCAATGATATTAAGGCGGGTTGTTTTAGTATGTGAGTAGTTAAGTCTTTGCATCTCGTTGTCCTATTATGGGCAAGTACTTTTTGTGTTATAATGATGCACAGAGTTGATAGCAACTACAACTCTTATTGTACTTTTATATGTTGACATTTGTTTTCAACCTTTTCTTCTACCTACTTCTCCTATACATATCAGTTTAAATTGCAATATTATTGGAAGCATGTTCCTCCAACAAATGTTGTTCAGCTTACTTGCAGTTTTTTCCCAATTTATGTAACATTAAGCAGTGATAATCATACGTTATCAAACGTGCCTTTATATAGGAGGGTTACAAATAGTACAGGTGAATCACCTCTGTTATTTTATTTTTCAAGTTTAGTTGAAGCATGGCGTCTATTTGCAGTATTCATGCATGTTTCAGCGCTGTCAAACGGGCAGTCGTATCTTTAGACCTGAAATGTTAGAAACAAAGAGAATAGGATGACCACAATATTCGATACTCGTAGAGCTTACTTTTTTGAAACATGTGCATTGTGTATATTTTCTTAGTGAATGTGCAACATAGTTTATTGAATGATGTTACACTTTAACTAGGAAATTGAAAGTTGATATTCAATGCATTTTTTATTGCAAAAACATGCTGGTCATGTACGTTACAACTCTGCCCATTCTTTGTTAACCTAAAGTTTACGCAACTGTCAATTTTGGATAGTGTGTGTTGAAATATCATGAAATGCTTTTTCGAATAATTGCGCAAGCGACTACGTGTTTTGTGGTGCGCACAGTGTGATTTTTTGTTGTGATGAAAACCTCTAAATAATGAACAAAGGCGCATATAAATAGTTGTTTTCGATAAGTTGGACGACCGTAAAATCACTGAAGTGTAAACAGTTGGGCTTGTTGGCGCAGCATAAGCAGCTGTTTCTCAGCACCAAGAACGCGGAAAAAGTAAACGACGCACGTAAGTTCTGTGAGCTCCGTTCATGCCATTCTTCTTGTTTGCACTGCGAAACCCGAAACCGTGGAATTCCCACTACATGACGCAGTATACTGTGATGGGTCTCGATAAATGTACTGTTGCTTGGCGACCCCTTGAAGGCCGTGTAGTAGCAGACCCTGTGGGATGTCAGGGACAATATCGGAAGATGTGGGTGCAGAACAACAAGCGAAATGAGTAAGAAAGAAGACGACAGTAAAGACGCACTTTATGTGCTATTTTTGAACTTTTTGTTAGTAGCGCTACACCAACACCTTGCAATAAAATACCCATTAGCCGGCATTTATACCATTCTTCAGTTCACGGGCAATATAGTGAGCCTTCGTTCCCATAATGGACAACACATGAGACCTGATGATTACTGTCAAAGAATACACACGTCCTCCAAAGTCCTCGGGAAGCAGCCTGAGGTCCGCCGTCAGTATTAAAGGGTCAACTCCCCTACATCGAGGTTATTTCAATTTGGACTACAAAATTATATGCACTTAACTCGACGTAAAGCAGGTAGAAAACTTATGTGTGAGCAGTGATCCTCGTGTCGTGCAGCGACAAATTTAAGTAGCGTGTCTTCAGGGGCTGCTTGGTAAGACATTATTAGGAGAATTCAAAGTGCCCAATAGACAAGGTACCAGAGTAGAAGTAGAGAGGACGAAACAAAGTCTGTGAGTGTCGCTGAAGGATCTGAATTCGATCAGCAGCGTTCGTGCTTACAAGGAAGCGCGTGCCATCCAGCTTTGCAGCCTGCTGGGCCTCTATGACGAAAAAAAAAATCTGAACTTGTGATACACTGGCACACTTTCCCCAGCTTCTTTTCCTCTTCCTCTCTCTAACCTTACTGCTCTCTCTTCACCATAATTCCCTTTTTCCGTGCTATTGCTACGCTATACTATGCAAGGCTAAGATATGCTCTACAAGTAATAGAAGCTTGGGCTATAGTTGGTCTGAGAGAATGACGGTGTAATGTTCCAGCCCAAGAACATGGGAAAAATAGCACGAGTGGAAAAGAGCGCTGACTTCTAACTGGTGTTTACTTCTGAAAATGACAAAATAAACTTGTGCGAACAAAGATAAAGACGCGTCTAATCAGTGCATCTATACAGTTGAATCACAACACATGTTCATGATTGCCCTACAGGCTGGCCAGGAATTATGCGCAAAATGTGACAGTGCCCAGGGTGGAGTGCTCATGCATCTCATTATGAAAGACAGAAGGGGAGCGCTGCATGTACATAACAGGGATTGGAGGAGAGAAGAACAACACAGGCGCACACTCGCAACTGAAAGTTTATTGAAGGTGGAACACATATATAGCTTACAGAAATTTGTCACATGATGCGTCTTTGTTGTTCTTCTCTCCTCCAGTGGCTGTTGCGTACTGCGCCTCACTTCTCTCTTTCTTAATGAACCGCTACCAACTAGCCCAAATGGCTGCTTTGCTTACGCATCTGTCGCCTAACTTGTTCTATATTATAGCTTCTATATTATCGTGGGTTTGCTTGAATATAGCTGGGACATCGCACTTTACGACTGTGCCCAATTTTTGTCTATGTTCAAACCTTGTGAACTACCCTCATAACAGTATGCTGCCTTTGCCCTCCTCCTCACCACTATTTCTATTGCTTACCCCATTCCTATAATTGGTTATGCTCAGCATGGTTTTGCCTGCGGGACGCCAAGCTACGACATGAGATGACAGGATACAATGACGGCATAATCTTTACCTCCTTTACTTTCTACTTACCCTTGATTTTCTTTCCCACCCCCTCGCTTTGCAAGACATGTTGCTTTGCCTGCATGACGCCATACCTGACTATGCTAAACTTAAGAAAAACAGTGGCATGAAGGGAATTCGTTGTGACAAGACCAACGCCAGGCCTTGTCACTACTTTCTATGCCTGCTCTTTGCGCTGTATTTTTTCGAAGTTCTGCATGTTGGGTGCACGTTAAAGAACCCCAGGTGGTCGAAATTTCCGGAGCCCTCCACTACGGCGTCTCTCATAGTCAAATGGTGGTTTTGGGACGTTAAACCCCACATATCTATCAAGTTCTGCATATTTCAAAACGCCTGAATTAACTGTTTATTTTTAATTTTTGGATATGGCTTACCAGCTCCCTTCCTCCTATCCGACATTCTCATCCTCACAAAACCCCGCCTCACCCTTAGTTCCCTTTCCTGCCCTGTTACTATAAATGACTATTACGTACATGGTTCGGCTGCACAACGCAATAAATACTTATACTATGCTTCAGCCTCTCTTCTCTTTTCCATCCTCTTTGCCGTCATACCTTGTCTCCTGATCCTCCCTTATCCTTCCCTTGTATTACATTGCTATGCTACACATTGTTTGGGGTGCGTGACGGCAAGCGGCGAGATAAGACGACAGCATACTATGACAGCATGTTCTTCCTCTTCCTTCTTCTGCTTTACTTTCTACTCATCCTCACATCACATCACTCCTCCACAGCCTCACTTCCCGTTCACACCCCTTTTCTATGACTTTGCTTCAGTGCAGCACGCTAGTGCTCGACAGGGCTAGCTCTGCTCACGCCTCTGTTGACTTCATTGACATCGCTGCGTTGGCACGCCAGCATGCCACAGTATTTTTGCCAGCGTTACTCAAAACTACATGAGACGAGAACCGCAAACGACAACTTGCGACAGCCCGGGTCCCTAAAGCGCACCGCGTTTAGGATTGTCGTGGTAGCCCGCACATATCACTGTGGTTTTCCACTGTGGTGCTTAATCGTACACTTCAAGCAGCGCAGGAATGATCGGAAGTATGTTTTCATGGTTTTGCTCTGGCTAGTTGGTCGAAGCGTATTACCGGCACATTTGGTTGGTTTGGTTGAAAATGACATCATATAACGCTGTGAATAACCAAGAAGACGGACAAGGTTTCTAGGCAAAGCTTCTGGTGTGCTATGCGGGACGGCCAGAGCTTCTCGGGCACATGAGTTTGCTCAGCACTCACTCTACGGTGGCTGTGGCTAAAGGACAGTAAGAAGCGCCTGATAGCAGCGTTGATAAAAATGGCTACAAGGACACCGGTTGCGTCAGAAACTCAAGTGGGGCATTTGTGGTGGTTATCGGAAAAACACCGCATGCGAAAACATCAGTGCCGCCATTTAGTCAACATTTGAACAGTGCAGCGACATTAGCGTGATTGTCGCGCTATCTCTTTGCCCACGATCACGCGCTTCACATAGGCGCGTTCGTGGGCGTTTGTCCTCTTTCGAGCTGGTTTTTTCGTTCCACCTGCAGCGTGGAAATTTCCGCTCTGGAAGACAGCAAGTGTGCACACGCATCACCCTCGTGCTACTCCTTTGGCTTCTATGAAATATAAAACAATTGGGCCCGTATCTGCACGCTTAACTGCAAATGTCGTCGAAATAAGATGGTCTTGCATCTTGAGAGAGTGAATAAAACGTTTATTTGATGTTCTGCGCGAGAAAATCAGTTGATGGTATTCTGGAGGCACTGGTTTAGAGTGTCTCGATGGGTGCAGTGGAGGCAAACGAGTGAATCCAGGCACGTGAGACATGATCACTATCTAATAGTTATCTTGTAAAACGAAGAATGGGGTCTGATATAGCAAGCGCGCGGCGTGCGCGCCTATCTCGGAAGCGATAAGGTGTACAACAAAAAGCCACGGGTAGGTGGCACCTACCCGTCTTAGCAAAGCGTTGGAATCAGTTGCCTTTTCATTGTCAGTGCAGTTTGATAAACGCTACGGTCCTTGGAATAACTTATGCAATATCTAGTATAAAGAGACACACCACAAAATATTGACCTGTTTTTATTGTGCCTCAGGACTGCGCAATATTTTGTTTTTATTTGACAATCGTGAAAGTATGAACGCGGAAACATGACAATATTGGTGGGCGCAGTAGATGGGGTTGAATTTGGGCCGTATCGGGTATCGTTTTGTCAAACAAACAGACAGACCAAAGTTTTTTGTGTCGAAGTAGCCCAAGAAAGACTACCGTCTTGATTGATTGATTTTTGGGGTTTAACGTCCCAAAACCACCATATGATTATGAGAGACGCCGTAGTAGAGGGCTCCGGAAATTTTGACCACCTGGGGTTCTTTAACGTGCACCCAAATCTGAGCACACGGGCCTACGACATTTCCGCCTCCATCGGGAAATGCAGCCGCCGCCGCCGGGATTTGAACCCGCGATCTGCGGGTCAGCAGCCGAGTACCTTAGCCACTAGACCACCGCGGCGGGGTGACTATCATCTTCAAATATCACCACCTAAGCACTCTGTACAAACGGCTATTCAGCCGCGCCTGTCGATTTCACTTGAGTTTCTGACTTTCTCGTCAGGCGCGGCTCCTAGCACGGCAAACATCTGCGCTGAAAGAGAAGATGCTGGAAGATCTCTCTCTCCAAAGGAATGGGCACCCCTTCAACCTAGACGATCTGTTGAGCCTCAACAGAAGCCGCCTCAAGAACAAGCAACGGCCGGGAAGCCAGATCATTGCGTGATGGTGATGCTAAGGTTATTAGTGGACACCATTCGCATGTTGTTAAGCGACATGAATACACCGTCAGCCAAAGGCGCCCTTCAAGTACTGGACGCGCTTAGTCCAGTGCCAGCAGCCCTAGAGTAGACC